GCTATTGATATACATTTTTATTTTAGCTTTTCTAATAGAACTTGACTAATTCGAATTTTATTTTAGAAATGAGAGGTAAATTTGGATTAAAAAAACCATGATTCTCTGGGAGGCCAAAGTGGGTGGATTCCTTGAGCTCAGGAGTTTGAGGCCAGCCTGAGCAAGACCTGTCTCTAAAAAAATGGGTGTTGTAGTGGGTGCTTGTAGTTACAGCTACTGAGGAGGCTGAGACAAGAGGATGGCTTGAGCCCAAGAGTTTGAGGTTGCTGTGGGCTATGACTCCACAACACTCTGTTGAGGGTGACCAAGTGACACTGTCTCAAAAAAAATATGTATAATTCACCTCATGAACAAATAACAGAAAAATTTTTGATCATCTTAATGGACACAACAATTTTTCTTTGTTTGTTTTTTGAGGCAGAGTCTCACTCAGTTGCCCTGGGTAGAGTGCTGTGGCATCATGGGAGTGTTTTTGAGTCTTGAGGGCAGATCACTCATGAATGCCTTTGTACCCTCCCCTAGATGATGAGTGAGTTTTCAATTTGCTTTATTAACTCACAGAGATCTGGTTGTGAAAAGAGCCTGGGACCACCTCCTCCCTCTTGCCTCATGACATGCCTGCTCTCCCTTCACCTTCCGCCCTGATTGGAAGCTCCCGTAGGTCCCTCACTGGAGGCAGATGCTGGCCCAGCGCTTCTTATACAGTCTGCAGAATGGTATGCCAAGCAAGCCTCCTCTCTTTATAAATTACCCACTGTCAGGTATTCCTTCATCGCAATGAGAAATAGGAAGCCTACTAACACACTCAGATAGCTGGTAAAACATTATTTCTGGGTAGAGTCTTTGGGGGGCTTTCTGGAAGAGGTTAGCATTTGAGTTGAGATCAAGTAACAAATGCTTGCCCTCACCAGTGGGCAGGCCTCAACTCACTAAGGGCGTGAGTAGAGCAAGAGGGTGGAGAAACAAGTGAATTTGTTTCCTGTTCCAGCTGGGAAATCCATCTGCTCCTGTCCTCAGACATTGGTACTCCTGGTTCTTGGGACTTAGTATCTGAATGGAATTACACCACCTGCTTTCTTGCTTCTCCAGCTTGCAGATGGCCGATTGTGGAACTTCTCAGATTCAATGGCATGATCCAATTCCTGTATTCAAAATCAATCTCTCTCTGTGTGTCTCAATAAATCCCCCCATGGATACAGAAAATAACACACATATATATGTATATGTGTATAACACACATGTATACAATCATTTCTGGTATCCACGGGGGATTTGCTCCAGGACCCCTGTGGATACCCAAATCTGAGGATTCTCAGATTCCTTATCTAAAATAACATAATACTTGTATATAACCTGTGCATATCTTCCTGTACACTTTAAACAATTTCTAGATGATTTATACTATTTAATACAATGTAAATGCTATGTAAACAGTTCTTATACTGTTTAGGGAATAATAACAGTTCTTATACTGTTTAGGGAAAAAAAGTCTGTGCATATCCAGATTTTGTTTTTCCAGTATTTTCAGCCCTCACTGGGTTAAATCCATGGATGCAGAACTGTGGGTCCAGAAGATCTGTGTGTATTGGCTGTTTCATTGAAGAACCCTGACTAATAGTTCCTGGCCTAATTTTGGGTTGTGGTTACACTAGCAATATAGATTTCAAAGCTTAAGCAAAGCTTTTCTGGTCTTTGTTTGCCTGGGACTCTAGGGATTCCAGCTTGATTCTCCTGATCCTGCCTTCAAGGGTGAAGTGCACTTTCCCAGGCCTAATCCTGCCAGATGAAGTGTGGGAGATACTGGGCCGTGAGTCAGTGAGTGTTTCCTGGACCATGCCCTCTGGGCTGGCCAGTGTCAGTGGGACTATTGCTTGATGCCTACTGGTGTTGCTTGGGGTGAGAGGGGGTGGAAGGTGCATTTCTGTGCTCCCTAGTGCCAGGTGATAGATGGAGAATGCTGGCCGTGGAACCAGGTCATCTGTTCCATCAGCTTCCTCTTCTTCTTCTTCTTCTTTTTTTTTCTGAGACAGAGTCTCACTTTGTCACCCTTGGTAGAGTGCCATGGCATCATAGCTCACAACAACCTCCAACTCTTGGGCTCAAGCGATTCTCTTGCCTCAGCCTCCCAAGTAGCTGGGACTATAGGTGCCCACCACAACGCCCAGCTATTTTTAGACCTGAGGTCTTGCTCTGGCTCAGGGTGATCTCGAACCAGTGAGCTCAGGCAATCCACCTGCCTTGGCCTCCCAAGTGCTGTGATTACAGGTGTGAGCCACTGTGCCTAGACCATATTTTTTATTTTTTACTTTTTTTGAAACAGAGTCTCAAACTGTCACCTGGGTAGAGTGCTGCGACATCATAGCTCACGGCAACCTCCAACTCTTGGACTCAAGCGATCCTCTTGCCTCCGTTTCTTTTTCTTCTATTTTTAGTAGAGACAGGGTGTCACTTTTGCTCAGGCTGGTCTCAAACTCATGAGCTCAAGCAATTCACCTGCCTGGGCCTCCCAAGAGTGCTAGGATTATAGGCATGAGCCACCATGCCTGGCCTAGGATTATATATTTTTATTGAAGTGCTTGCTCCCTTTCATGAGCCATGAAAGTAATACAGAGATAACATGGCTTAAAATAGGTGTACATATATATTTTTGGCACCTGTGGTACTTGCTTTGCAATCCGTGTTTTTCTTGTGATTTTGAGCATTTTTAAACTTGCAAAGGAAGTGCCATAGGTTCCCCCCAAATAAAAACATATATACATATTTTAAGCAATGTTATCTCTTTATTACTTTCAAATTTGAATTGAATTATGGTAGCAATTCCATATGAATTTCTACCAAATTATGTGAATTTGACATCATTCAAAAGATTGTGTTAATCAAAAGAATGCTAGTGTCACCATGTGACAAGCAGAACAGTCAAAGAAAATGGCAGAAGCATGGTTGTCATCAGAGGAGGTAAGACCACTTGGAAGTGGTATTTGATTTTTTTTTTTAAGAGACAGAGTCTCACTTTATTGTCCTTGGTAGAGTGCTGTGGAGTCATAGCTCACAGCAACCTCCAACTCCTGGGCTTAGGTGATTCTCCTGCCTCAGCTTCCCAAGTAGCTGGAACTACAGGCTGAAGTGGTATTTGAAATTCAAGAATGTTATAGAAGTATAACAGCTGTGGAAGGGTGAGTATGCAACAGAATCGCCAACACCTCCAACAATTGCCTGCAATGTCATAGCTCACAGCATCTTCAAACTCTTGGGCTGAAGTGATTCTCTTGCCTCAGCCTCCCAAGTAGCTGGGACTACAGGCGCCACAATGCCTAGCTATTTTATTTATTTATTTTTTTTTAGAGACAAGGTCTCATTCTTGCTCAGGCTGGTTTTGAACCCCTAAGCTCAGGGTGATCCACCTGCCTTGGCCTCCCAGAGTGCTAGGATTACAAGCATGAGCCACTGCGCCCAGTCTATGTTATTGGTGTGTATTGAGTATGACAATTTTAATACAGCTTATCCCTTTCTTAAAATGTGTATACCTTTTTTTATTTTTGGCACCCTCTGTATTTATGAATAGCTTTACCTCCCTTGCTTGAGTTTAGACTTCTTGAGAACAAATTATATTTTTAACATTTTTCCATCTCTGCACCCAGAAGAGTTCATTTACACCATGGAGTTAAGTAAATACCTATTTTTTTAAAAAATTCCATAGCAGGCTCGGAGCCTGTGGCTCAAGCGGCTAAGGCACCAGCCACATACACCTAAGGTGGCGGGTTCGAATCCCCAGCCCGGGCCCGCCAAACAACGATGATGGCTGCAACCACAAAATAGCCGGGCGTTGTGGCAGGCACCTGTAGTCCCAGCTACTTGGGAGGCTGAGGCAGGAGACTCGCTTGAACCCAGGAGTTGGAGGTTGCTGTGAGCTGTAATGCCATTGCACTCTACCCAGGGGGATAGCTTGAGGCTCCGTCTCAAAAAAAAAAAAAAATTCCATAGCATTTAAAAAATATGAACTTAATATCTCTCTTTGTAACAATAAAAGTAAGATACATATTTGGTATAATATCTTTTTAAAAAAACATTCCCATAGCATTTAAAAAATACAAACTCAACATTTCTTTTTGTAACAATAAAAGTAAGGTTCACATTTGGCACAATGTAACAATAAAAGTAAGATGTATTTTGTACAAAAATATAAACTCAGCATCTTCATTTGTAAGTAACAATAAAAATAAGATACATATTTGGTGCAATGTCTCTAAAGTCAGATACTAAACATTGAATACTAATTAATTAATCACTAGCAATATATATCCCAACACTAGAAAATGGGGAGTGTGTTGATGAATATTAATTTTTTTCTCTTACATACATCTCTTTGACATTGTGTGTTTGTATATCCATCTATATTTTCTAAAGTAGAGTCTGAATGTATTTCTTGATAAAAAATCATTCTATGCCTCCTTTTGGCATATGAAATACTTTCGTATTTCTTTTCCTTTCTTTTTCTTTTTTTTTTTTTTGAAACAGAGTCTCAAGCCATTGCCCTGGGTAGAGTGCTGTGGCGACATCATAGCTCACAGCAATCTCCAACTCTTGGGCTCAAGTGATCCTCTTGTCTCAGTTTTTTCTTTTGTATTTTCAGTAGAGATAGGGTCTGGCTCTGGCTCAGGTGGGTCTTGAACCTGTGAGCTCAGGCAATCTACCCACCTCAGCCTCCCAGAGGGCTAGGATTACAGGTGTGAGCCTCCATGCCCAGCCTAATACTTTTGTATTTTGACATTGTTTATAGTACATATATAATAATATCTCATTACATAAGTAATAACATAAAATTATCATTCATTTATTCTTTATCCAGCATAGGTAGAATTAGATGGTTCAAAATTACAAAGAGAAAAAGAATTTATTTTGGCAGATTTTACGTTTTTGTGAGTTTCTAAAAAGCTGAAAATTTTATGTTTGAGGAATTATTGTGATTCAGTAGTTAATCCATAAACCAAATGGTATAACCATCACATTTTTCCTGACTGCCATGCTATCTTAACATGCTTAATTTGTGAAGGGGTTCTAAACTTTGGATCCCAGTTATATTCCGGTGATAACAGCTTAGTGGGTTTGTTGACAAAAAAGTATTTGTTTAGGTGGCTTTCGTAAAGACTTTTAAGGTCATTGGTGTTGTCCTGAATAATTCCTTTCTGACATTCTTTAATGACATTTAAAACCTCACGGGGTATGCCACCAACAATTGCACCATGGTAATAGAAATCTCCTTGTCCAGAGGGGATGAAAGCTGCTGATTTATGTCTCCTCTCATAAGGGAAATCCCTAGGACTTTTAAAATACCACCATGCATGGATTTGAGCTACAGAGCTGCCCAGGGTTTCTACTCCAAAGTCTTTCTTGAAGATCTGGTTGACGGCCATGGTGAAGAGAAAGTTGACTTCATGCTGGATGTAGCCTAAGATGTTCATCTTTAAGTTCATCATGTTTTTGAGGTGAAAGTCTTGATCAAAATTATGGTCTTTGAAATATTTTACACGTTCGAAGGGGACCAAACTCTATGTAAGGTAGCTTGGTGAAGTTATCCACCATGATGTAAAAGATTGTGTGGTAGCCAATCATAAAGTGCCTTTCAGCAGATTGTATGAACTGTGTCAGGTACTGGTCTACAAATCTGTGGAACATGGGGGAAAAAAACCAGAAAAATTAATTTGCTAAAAACCGTCAGGAGAATGCGTGCCATTTAAACATACTGGCAAGTATGTGTGTCAACAATGCTAAAGACAGACAGTGAGTGTAGAGAAGTTGGGTCTATAGCTTCAACTGTGTTGGTTAGTGGAAGAGAATGTAGTAGGCTTGGGGACCTGGGAAAAACCGTAAAGTTTG